TGTGTTTGTTTGAATAAGATAAAGTGGTCTTATTAATTTCATTATTAAATTAAAAATAATAAATGATTCTAATTCATTTCTACTATATTCCATACACAACGCACAAATTTCATTCATCCCTTGCATATACATTGTTTCCATATCATATATCCCATAACACATTAATATTCTTTTTAATGCTTCTACAGGTTTATCTGTCCATTGAATATTGTTTAATACAGTTCTATTTAAATCTTTTTCAATTTGTGTTTCAATTGAACTAATATCTTTCCATCGTTTCTTTTGTTCAGGAAAGAAAGAATTCCATTGTAATTGAAGTGTTTCATACTTCTTTTTCCAAAGATTTAATACATCATTTTTTTTTAAGTAATCTTTCATTTCTCCTTCACAAATCATCCAAGCAATACACCTTGATTCATCATCACATCCAACATATTTAACAGCATTTTTAACTTCATTCATTTGATTATGTACTTCAATATATTTAGTAGTACAAGAAGAAATATCTAATGTATGACTATTCATCCATTGTTTTCTTGAAGTAATTCTAATTGGGTCTTCATTAATTTTTTTAGTATATAAACAAATCATAGACATAGATTTTCTAAACGATTCATTGTTACATAACTTAGTTTCTACTTTATAATATCCTTCTTTTTCATCTCCTTTATCAAGATTTAATTTAATTCCTTTTTTACTTATACTTTTTAACATAATCTCAATACATTCACTTGTTTCAAATTGATATACAGGAATACTAAATGGTAAAACACTACTAAATTCAAATGAAACTTCATAAATCATTTGTGACATTAACAATGAACTTTTTCTTGTTTGTTTATATTTAATACCAATACAATCTCTAAAACAAAAATCTACTTTATATTCATTAATGTCATTTACTGGATTTTGCCAATGTCTTGATAAGAGATCAAATATTGGTTCCATTTTAATTGGAATAAAATCAAAATAAACAAATCCATTTAACTATTTAATTGAGTTTTATATTTACTCTTTTTTACGTTTAATTTATATTAGTAATAACAAACTGATGTTAAATTAATTACTCCTTTGACCGTCCATTGGTCATTAACTTTAACACGAACATCTTGAATAAATCCTAATACTTCTGTATTACTATTCATATGATGTGTATGTTTTACACTAAGTACAATTCCACTTGGTATTTGTGTTGGTCCATTAGGTTGTATAATTTCATCAAAAGAATTATCTTGGTTTTTAGATGTACGAATTGCTTGACGAGGTTTATAATCTATCTTCTTTTCTTCAGTTTCTTCTGTTTTTGTATTTCCAGTAATTAAAGAAATATCTTTTGTGGTTTGTCTTCCATGGTCTTTTGTATTATTATTGTCATGATTATTTTCTTTATCAACTCCTTTCTTTCCAGGGGTTGTTGGAGTTGAATTACTAACATCTTCTTTACTTTTAGATTTTTTTGAAACCATTTGGAGTAATGATGGTGATTTTCTTCCACTTTTATCTTCTTCAATAATAACAGGAAAATACCCTTTGTTATTTTGTTCTTTTTTTAATGTCTTAACTCGGTTTTGTGGCAATGGTTTTGCAAATTTACGTTGTTCTATTAACGGACGTTCATCACTCATTTTCTTTAAATTTCCAAGTTTTATGGTTTTTTATTTAATTTTTTCATTTTTGGAATTTATTTTCGATTGAGGGAATAGAACTAATTTTGTTGAACTTTATTTTATTTAATATTATTATAAGTGTAACAAATGAAAAGAATGAGCTGTAAATGAAAGAATCAATAAGAAAATAGCTAATAAACCAGCTATTGTCTTTTAAGCTGTTTCAAAAAAATACAATATAACACGACATAAATAACTCAATGTCATAAAGTAAAAATGGTATTGATTGTTAATACCAAGTATAACTATAAAGATGAGAAAGTTAAAGAATAGATGAATAACCTAAAAGATAAAAAAACACAGAAGAAAATAAAAAACTAATAAAAGCTAGTTTATTATTGTTCCTCCTCTGACGAAGCAAATCTTATTTGTTTATGCTACTAAAATAAAAATTACTAAATTAAATTTCAGTAGATCTTAATTTTCCTAGTTTATTTTATTTATCTAAGATTAGTTTATTCATTCTATTGAATGTATTGTTCATGAGGTACTTTTATATCGGTATATTTATATTGTATCAACGTTATTTCATTAAATATTTCAAGCTCACAATTATTATATCTTTTAAAATTGTTTCAAAATAGTTTATGATACTTTGTTTGTTGATTATTTTATTGTTTCTTTAACAACTATTATATTTATTGATATTATTATTATTGGTATTACTTTTATTTCAGTATTTAATGAATATTATTTTCTCTTGATCATTCTATTCATTTCCACTTTATTATTAAATATTAGACTTACCTTTTTATCACTTCATTTTATCATTTGTTATTCGTATTTACCTTCTATATAAATATTTGTTATTTATGAATCACCTTTATTAATTGTTTCTTGTTTCAATAATTGTTCATTTTTTTATTTTCTATTCTTATTTTGATTCTACTTATTTCATTTTTATGAAGTTAGTTTCATTTTTTCTATGTTTCTTTATCATTTATTATATTTATATCATATTTTACATTCGTTACTCTCAATATGTATTCATTTGTTAAATCATGTTTATCCATTTGTATATTTTGGGAACCGAAATAAGCAAAGAAATATGTATCTAAATAAAAAAAATACAAAAAAAGGGCAAAATATTTTGAATCAATAAAATAATAGTTTTTATTATTTTGCTCCTAAAAAAAATAAAAAAATAAAAATTAAATTAAATACTCATTCTATATTCATTTATATTTCTTTATATTTTATATCATTTTATGGTAAATTGTTCTGAATTATAAATGATTCAGAAATGATATTTGATTTAATGTAAGTATACATTTTTATTATTATGTTATTATTATGTTATTTATGTATTTTATTATTATATTTATTTCTATTATTGTATTATATATATCATCATATTATCTATATATTTTATATTATCATATTTTATTAGTTGTATATTCTTATTATTTATATTTTATTTTATATATTAATACACTTCTATTTATATATAATTTATTATATATTAATACATTTCTTTATCTTATTTTCATTTTGATTATATTTTTATATTTTATATCTTCTTTCTCTTTATATTTATTATTATTTTATTTATATTATATTGATTTTATTTATTATTTCTTTTATACATTTTCCATATTATTATATCATTTCTTTTCTCTTATTATTTCTTTATTATTTATTATTATTTATTTATTTTTTATATCTTCTATCTATATCATATGAATTTATTATTTATTATATATTATATATTACATATTATATACTAATCATATAACATTTATAATTGATTATATAATATATTTTTATTCTTTTCTCTTCTTTTTTATATTATTTTATTTTTTGTTGAATATATTTGTTTTTGTATTTTTGTTATTTATTTTATTTCTTATTTTTGTGTTTATTTTATTCTTATTTATCATATTTATTATTTATATTATGTTATATTTGATTTTATTAATTATATTAATTAGTATTTTATTAATATAAATATTATGTTTATTATTTTATTATTTATTTATTTTTATTATTTATTTTATCTTTTCTTATTATTCTTTTATTATTTTATGTTTATTATATTTTATTTTTTTATTTCTTTTTCTATCTATTTTTCTATTATTTTTATTTATTATATATATTTCTTTTATTCTTATTCTGTTATTATTTATATTTTTTATTTATTTTATTCATTCGATTGTTTAATAAAAAATATATTCAATTTTATTATTTGTTTATTATTATTATTTATTTTTATTTATATATTGATTTGATTAATATATTTGTATTATATCATTTTTATATTTATTATTATTTATATTTTGTATTATTATTTATTTATTATTATCATTTTTATTTTTATTTATCATTTTGTATTATATTATTCATTATTTCATGATTTTAATATTTATTATGAAATCATTTATTAATCATTTCATTTTATAATGATATATTAATTAAATTATTTTGTTATATCACATTGATTATTTAATATTTAATGATATAATTTAATCCTATAAGATTAATATAATAGATATAAATAAAATGATAATATTGAAACAATCATTTAAAATCAAAAATAAATAATAAGAAAGAAGAATATAATATAAATAATAAAGAATAAAGAAAAGAAAGATAATAAAAGAAATAAATAATAAATATAAATCAAATGATAATAATAAAAACAAATAATAAATAAATGATAAATAAATATTAATAATCAAAAATATAATAATAAAAATTAAAATTAAATCAAATCAAAATAATCAAAACAAGAAATGAAAATAAGAATCAAATGAAAATAAATAAAATAGAAAAATAAGAAATAAAGAAATAATAAGAATAAAGAAGAATAATAAGAAAGAAAAGAAATATAAATAATATTAATAATAAATTAAAATAAAATAAGAAATGAAAAATATAATAATAATGATAAATAATAAAAATATGAAAGAATAAAGATAATAATAATATAAAATGATGATATTAAAGAAATTATTAAAATATAAAATAAAGATAAAAGAAAACAATGAAATATAAAATAAATTCATTTTAATTTAAATCATTTAAATAATTAAACAATAAAATTATTTTATAATATTGAAATGTTTCATAAATATAATAAAAATGAACAAATAAAAGAATAGAGAAAAATAAATAAAAGAATAATAAATAATAAATTAAAATAATCAATATACTAAAAAGAAAAAAGATAATAAATAATACATATAAATAAAAATCATAAAAATAAAAAAGAATAAAATATTTTGCATAAATAAAATAATGATAAATAATTTGCATCAATAAATTAAACGCTTTTTTATTTCATATTTCTAATTTCTATAATAAAAAATGCATCCATTATTTCATCATTATTTTCATCTTTTATTTTCTCATTTTGAATTATTCTTTTTTATCTTCTTTCTTTTTATATTCTCAACATTCTACTTTTATTCTTTTCATCTTCTTCTACTTCTTAATTTCACTTTTTCTTTTATATCATTCTTTCTCTTCATTTTTCTCTTATTTGCTTTTTTTCGTTGCCAATAGTAAATATAATAAAATTATTTAATAATATTTTTATTATCATGTTATAATGATATTCAATTAAATTATTAAATGACAATGATGAAATATGAATCAACCATTGAGGAGATAAGAATCAATAAAAGTATATTTAACTAAATTATAAACTCTAAAATAACTAATAAGAAACATCAAAAAGTTTAATGGTTTGTATTTGTAGTGATATTACTTTTATTTATCTTAATTTTGTAAAATATTGTAAAATATTTGATGAAATATTCTCTCATAATATCATAATTTATCAATATATTACATCTCCAAATGAACAATATTTACAATAATGATTATATTTCATGAAATGATGTTAAATAATATTATTCAATACATTATTAATAAATGAATTGATTGTAATTATGGTGATAATCAAATAATAGTAATAATTGATAAGTTTGAATAACATAGTGATATTTCATTATTTAATATACTTATATATCATAATATCATAATATTATTATATCATATCTTATTCAATAACTTGATTTAGTATTATTTAATCAATTAAAATATCATACCAGAATGAATAATACTAATTTAATTAATGAAATATAATCTCATCAATCATTTCAAAATATAAATAATTGTGATTATGAAATAGGTCAAATATATTTGAATATCATTGAAATAATTATGAATGATTTAATTGATACAATTACTAAATCATCATTACATCTTATTTCAATGAATAATGAATCAATAAGAAAAGAAAATGAGTCAATAACTAATCATATGAAAAATATCAATAAAATCAATACACTCAAATATTACTTCTATATTAATTTAATCATTTTTTAAATGGTTTATTATTTCTATAATGTATATTTATGAATTTAAGAGAATAAACAATGAATTAGAATCAGCAACAAGAATAAATAATGAAAATAAAATAAAGAATTAACATTTCATGTTTTCATTAATTAAAATTATCTGAACAACAAATGATTGACTTTACATCCATGAAATAGAATAAATGAAATTGTAAATGATTAATAAATAATTTTTAACCCATGAAATTAAATAGACATACAAAGTAACACGCATAGAATAACAGAGTAAGAAATAAAGAAAAATAATGAATTAATCATTTCATTTTATTTTTTAAATGAAAAAAATAATATAGTAAAATATATAATAAAATATAATAAAATAATAAAGAAAAAAAAATTCCATTTTATTTCCTTTACTCAAAATTAACACTAACTACACTTTACTTCCCTTACTATAATATTAAATAAAACAGTTCATATTTCATTAATAAACAAAAGAATAAATAATAAGAAAGAGAAATAAAAAAAAAATGAATACAAATTATAATCAACCATAAACTCCTTGTATTTCATTTGTTGTAATTTTATTGTTTCATTCATTACCATTTATTAGAAACAACTTTTTGGTATTCTTATATTCTTCTTTAACTCTTGTACACATCCACAATTACTAAAACATTCATATCCAAATGATATAATTATCGATGGTATATTAATTGATTTTAATGACTCACACCCATCAAAACAATAACATCCTAGTTCACTTACTGATGATAGATTTAATTGATATTAATGAGGTAATCCTTTGAAACAATTATTTCTTATTTTAGTAATTGTTGAAAGAATAATAAATTCGTTAATATCTTTCTTTTCCATCTTTCCATTTATTATTTTTAGATTTTTTAGTATTTGAAAACTTAACAATATCAGTTCATTCATAAATACTTTTTCTTCACTTATATATTTAAGACCATGAAGAGTAATCTCTTTTAATGAAAGACATTTGAAAAAAAAACAACCATTTCCTATTTCACTAACTGATGTTGGAATATTTACTGATTTGAGTTCACCACAACACCTAAAGCATCCAGATATTTTAGTAACTGTTTTGTTGGTATAACAAATTTGTTAATGTCTCTTCTTTCTATTTCTTTTCCATTTATCCTTTTTAAATTACAAATCTCAAAAGATGTTATGTTTTGTTCATTTATAAATATTTTGTCTTTACATATGAATCCAATGTGTTCATAGATGTTAATACTTTACATCCATTAAAACATTCATTTCCTATTTCAGTTACCATTGATGGTATAGTAACTATTGTCAATGTTTCACATCCTTTAAAACAACTACTTCCTATCTCTTTTATTCATGTTGGATATTAATTGTTGTTAAATGACTAACATCCATAAAAACAATACCTTTAAAGTGAATTAATTTCTAGTGGTATTGTGTTATCATATTCCTTTCTATCTTCTTCTGTATATTCAATATTTTTAAATATATTTTCTGCTTCTTTTTCTTTTAAATATGTTGAATATTCTACTTTATACCATATTACTTTTTTAATATTCTTCCATCATTAAATATTTCATCGTCTTCATCACAAATATGAAATGTTTCAATATTATGAAAGAGTTTTCTTGAATATTTATTTAAAGAAATTGGATTAAAATGAAATCGTTCCATATTTCCTTGAAATCTTTTAATTCCTATTTCTAAATTAATAAAATCATTAATATCATCAAAATACATTGATACTATCATTATTTCATTATATCCTAGCTTCATTCTTGATTTTTATTCTAAATCCATATATTCAAATTATTAACAGGAGATAAATTATATACAACAAGAGAGTGATAATGAATATGATTAATGAATTAAAGAGATGAAAGTTGAAAAGAATTAATTAAGTTGTATTTTAAAAATGAATTAAAAACAATAATACAAGAATTAAATAAAATGATAGAAATAAATAATGAATATACAGAATGCATAGAAAAGAATGAATATTTTATAAAGAAAATAGATGAATAATAAATCATCTGATTTTGCAAACATATAAAAGAATGAAGATATGACAATAATTTAAAATATTGAAATAATTAAATATTAAATTGAATGAATATATTCAAATATTAATAATACATGAAAATATATTACTAAAATGATCAAGAAAACTAGATATAACAATAATGAAAATATAAAATAATGTAAATATTGTACAAATATTATAATATCTATATCACATATATTATTAGTATACAAAATGAGAAAGAACTGATAAAATGATAATATAAATATGTAAATGAAGAAATATTTAAATATATAATCATGGAATAATATAAAGAAATAGAAAAGATATTATACAATATCTACTTCATTATATAACATCAATAAATTGTTTAATTTTAATTACTTATAACAAATACTTATTAACATGAGATAATATTAAATTTACAATAAGAATAGAATTATATCATCAATATAATAAACAAAATAAATAGACATTAATGATGTAATTAATATACAAAATGAAAATATAACAACAATGATTTAAATAAATAAATTAAATATAAAATATTACAAAATAATCAATATAAAGATAATATAAATATAAATCATTCAATTTATGATAATTAATAAATGATTTAATCATAAATTATCAATAAAAAATAAAAGAAATAGATAATGATATAGATAATAACAATAAAGTTACAAATAAATGAAATATATTATGTATTAATTATATAATGATGATAGTTGTAATAATATAAACTCATAATCTATTATATTCAATAAAATACTCTGATAATACAAAAAGTGAAGAAATTAATAATAATTATAACAATATAATTTCTCAAAACAATAAAAACATGAATAAACAAATAAATTCATTATATAAATTATATATTTTCATTATTTTTGTAGATTAAATATTCAAAATTATAAATTTTCTTTGAATTCATATGGTATTTTGGAAAAGAGATAAAAAAATTATTTAGATAAATATTAAATATATTGAATTTTATATTCTGAGAAGAATATTTAATTTGAATTAAGTTAATTTAAATGAAATAAAACTAAAAAAATAGTTAATTAGTTGAGTGATTAAACTAAGAATAACTTTTAATTTAAAATTTTATTAAAACTCTTTTACCCATCCAACAAAATATGCTTCAGTACTTAAGTATCCTAAATTAGGATCAAAAATATATTTAATATATGTTTGGAATCCTAAAATATTATATCCAAAGGTAAATACACCAACATCTTCTTTATATTTTTCATCTTCCATTTGATCTTCTGTTTTTTCTCCCATTTCAACTTGTTCAACTTTTCTTGCAACAAAAGTAAATGGTTTTTGTAATTCACTACATGATAATTGAAGATAAATAACATCAACAAATACCATAACCCATAATCCATGTATTTTATGTCCTAACTCATTTGTTGGATTAAATGTCATTGAAAGAATAATAGAAATAACAACATTACACATTAAAATAATTAAATAAATTCTATGAACTAAATTAGCTAATTTAGTAAATAACAATGGTCGTTTATGTTCAGTAATTAATGTAAATATTGGATGTGTTCTAAATGCAATAATTCCAAAAACCATATAAATAAAATAAAGTCCAATTGCAATTGATGCAAATACAAGTTCTGCTTTTACCATTTTTTTTCCATTTTCATGTTCAGTAACACTTAATGCAATACATGCTATAATAAGTCCTGATATTAAACTTAATATTTGAATAATATGATGTACAATAAAATGTATCATTATTTTTTTATTTCTTTTAATTAATTGAAATGCACGATTAGATGATGCTGCAATAGTTTCATATGTTTCATCTGAAAGCAAACGATTTGTATCCTTAAACATGAACTAATCTAACTTTTCTATTTAATCTGCTTTTTCTTTTTCTTTTTGTTTTCTTTTTTTTTTTCAAAAATGAAGTGAAAGTTCAATTATCAAATTACTTTACTAACAATTCAATTCATCATAAAATAAAACTTTCATTCAACCAATAACATTCATCATCTATTCATTTGAAAATAAGATAAATCAATTGTCAATGATTTATAAGATACTATTCTATTAAAACAAAAAGATTATAAATAAATGACATTGTCAACACTTCAAACGTTGATGAAATTAATGAATCACTATTATACAAGACACTTTAATGTATATATTCAATAAAGAACATTGTACATTAAATAAAAGATTTTATGTATTGAAATCAAAGAATTGTTAGTATTAGAAACGTTAAAACAACAAAAAGAATATAAACAAGTACTAAACAGAAAGTGGGATATAAGAGAAAACAATAATCTAAACAATAAACATGTTTTTAAATACTTTATTTCAAATACATAAAAATAAAAAAAAAATGAATTAAAAACATATAAATGATGTAAAGAATTATAGTAAAGAATTTAAATGAAATATCAATGAATTTAACTGTTATTTCAATAGAATAACATAATTGTAATGAAATTATATACCATTTAGATTTTTTAAAATTAATTTAATTTTATAATTATTGTATTAATTCATTAAATGAATAATAACTATAACATTACATAACTCCATTCATATCAAAAATAAATAATTAATATGAAATTGACATCATTTTAAGGAATGAAATATAAAAATAGATAATAAATGATATTTAAAAGAACTAAAAATTAAAAATACATAAAAAAGAAGAATGAACAATAACCAAGAAGAAAGAACCAAAACAGTCCAAAAACTACAGGCTATAAGAGATTCACTAAAAAGTAAGATAGATGAAATAATGAAAAGTACCAAAGAATATAATGAAAGTTCTGAGAAAGTATTACAAAAAGAGATAATTGGAATGTCCAATGAAAATACCATAACTGGAAGTAAAGAAATTAAAGGGGTTCATGATAGAAACGAAGAGTTAATTGGAAGAAATGAAATTGTGATAAACCAAATAGAAGAGGGTATTAAAATACTGAATCAAATGAAAGAGATTTATGAAAAGATTAATTTCATTGGATGTGAAAATAAACAAATACCAACAGATCAAAGAACTATCATTAATGAAATTATAGAACCAGAAGAAAAAAGAGTTAATGAAATAATTAATCTAAACTTAGAAGAAGAAGAAGAAGTTCAAGGTAAAACAAATGAAGAGAATATGATTTCATCAGAGCAAATAGAACAAATAGAAGAATGGACAAAAAGAAAAATAGGAAATATAATATTTGATTCAAATAATGATGATTGGAATGTTAATACATCAGTATTTGGAGAAAAAATAATGAATAAAGGGTATTTAATAATTGTTATTGAAGATACAGAAGGAAATAAATTTGGAGGATATGTTAATTGTAAAGTTAATAAAGATAATAACTTCATTACTACTATAAATTCATTTTTATTTTCATTAGAATCAAAAGGAAGAATAAAAGGAATGAAGAAATTTGATATTAAATGTCCACAATATGGATTTAGATTGTTTGGTCAATCAGATGATTGGTTATTTACATTTGGATCAGGATCTGATATTCGTGTTTTAAAATCAAATAAGAAAGTACAGTCATATTGTAAACAAAGTTCTTTTGAATATGAAGGTATGAAAAATGTACTTTGTGGAAAAGAATTTCCAAAGCGATTTACACCAAAAAGAATCATTGTAATTGAAATGAAATAAATTTTATTTAAAATAAAAGAACAATTAAAATTAATAAATTAATTGAATATTAAAATAAAACAATTTCATTTATTAAACATTTATTTATTACTTCATTCCTTTCTCAATATTTGTTCTCTTTTCTTTTGAATTTATCTATTATTTTAATGTTTATATTATAACTTTTATTCTTATAATACTTTCAATATAAATTTAATTTATTTTTATTAATAATATAATATTCTTTTAATCTTTTAATACTAATTATATTTAATTTTAACTCTTTAAATAACAATAAATTAATTAATATTAATTTGTTTTGTAAATAATTAATAGATATTTTAAATGAATTTAATTAAATTATATATATTTATTTATTTAAAATTAAATAAAAAAGTTATATTTTATAAAAAATTTATATTTATTTCTTCAAAATAAAATATAATTTCTTTTTCAATTTCTAAATACTGATTTAATTTTAGAATTTAGAATATATCATTTAAGATAGTCTTAACTTCTTCATATGAAATATCATGATGTGCTCCAATTCTTCTTCCTTTAAATTTACTAGCAATTTCTTCTACATGTGAGTGATCAAAATTATATTTACTCATTCTTGTAATTCCTCCTACTGATTCAAAGAATTTAATTGTACAATTAATTCCATCTTCTGCTGTAGCATTTTCTATTCCAAATACTCTTTCTGCAAGTTGTGCAAGTTTTTTTGCATTCTTTTCTTTATTAAATCTCATTACTCCTGGACATGTCATAGCAAGTGATGCTCCATGTGCTACTCCATAATATGTAGTAACTTCATGTCCAATCATATGTGCTGCCCAACATTGTTGAATTCCTGTTGCAAGAATTCCATTTAATGCATATGTTGCTGCAAGACAAAAATCTGCTCTATATTTATAATTATTTGGTTCTTCAATTGTTTTTGGTCCTGCTGTTGTAATAACTTTTAATATTCCTTCACAAAATCTATCTACTACTGCTGATGAATCATAATGTCCAATATATTGTTCTATAACATGAACATATGAATCAATAACTCCATTAATTATCTGGTTCTTTGGAAGTGTAAATGAATGACATGGATCAACAATTGCAAAATATGGTTTAACTAAATCGTTACATCCAAGTGCTTTATCTTTCTTTCCATAATTTGTTACAACAAATAAATTATTTGTTTCTGTTCCTGTTGCTGGAATAGTTAATACTACTCCTATTTTACTTTTTGGTGCTGATGCTTTTTCCATTTGAGTAAACATATCAAATGGATCTTCTGTTGCTGTCCATTCCATTGCAAGTGCAATATATTTAGTTCCATCAATAACTGATCCTCCTCCTACTGCTAAAAGAAAATCAATATTATTTTCTTTTGCAATTTTAACTGCTTTCATACATGTTTCATGTGCTGGATTAGGTTCAATTCCTCCAAATTCTACAATTGGTTTAACATATTTCTTAACTTCTTCATATACTCCATTCTTCTTAATAGATCCTCCTCCATAAATCATCATTACTCTTGCTCCTTTTGGAATGAGTTCTTTCTTTTCGATTTCTGAACTTGCCCCTTTTCCATAACAAAGAATAGTTGGTGATTGGAATATGAAATTATTAAATGTATTCATACTTCTTTTGTCTTCTTGTTCTTTTATTAAGTTCTTTCTTCCTTAAATATTATTCAAAACGTGGTTCTTCGTACTTTTTTTTATTTTCTTTTTCTTCTTTTTCAACTTCCTTTCTATTTTTTTATATTATTTTTTATTATTTCTTGTTTTTTCTTTCTTTTTTTTTATTTTTTCTTCATCTTTTAATACGAATTCTTCTTTTTCGTCCGAAATCTTTTTTCTTTTATCTTTTCTATTTTTTCTTTAAAACTTTAAATTCTATCCTCAAATTACATTCTAATTATTTTAATATTTCTCTAACTCTTTAAGTAATTCTTCATATTCATCTTCTGAAAACTCTTTTTCTTCTATTCTTGATTTCTCTTCTTTTATGTCACTATTTTCTTTAAATCCTTCCAATGTTTTTTGAACCTCTTCACTTATTATGACTTCTTTATTTATTATTATCTCCCCATTTCTTATTTTTCTTAATTCTTCCATTTCCTTTCTTAATATTGCAATCTCTTTATCATTTTCTTTTTTATCTTTATCTTCTTTTTTCTTTTCTTCTTTCTTTTCTTCTTTCTTTTCTTTTTCTCCTTTTATTTTTTGATATTTCAAACATTCTTTTTGATGTTCTTCTTTGTAACACATAGGATAATATAATCTACATCCTTCACATTCTACTGCCCGATATTTACATTCTTCAAACAAATGTTCATCCATCTTTTCTTCTCGAATATCATTTTTACAATACTCACATTGACTTATCTTGTTTGATACTTTCCATTCTTCACTTTTTATTTGATCTTTTTTCATAGCTTTAACTATCTCTTCTGCTTCAAACGGATGTTGAATACTCAATTTAAAGTCTTCTCCTTTTAAATATCCATATCCTTCACTTCCATTAACACTCTCTACCTCAATATAAATCTTTTTAATTCCACAATGTATTGGAAGATAATATGATAGAACCATTCCACTATAAACACAGTGAAATCCCTGCAATAATCCTTTCATCACTATTTTGTAATTCTTTGAACAATAAAAATATGGATCCAATGGTCTAATCTTGATTTCTTTAACTTCTTTTAATTCTGAAAAGACTAGATTCCCTCCTTCTATTGCATCAAATCTTTCACACTCTATCTGAACTGTGTCATCTTGAGATACTCCTCCTACTACCCCAATAAAACGTTTCTGTGAAATTGTTTGTAATAGACAATAATATTGTTTCTTTCTTTCTTTACAAAGACTTTCATACTCTTGATAAAGAGTCTTAGGTAATCTGATTATATCATTATAAATCGTTTTGCCTTCATTATTATCACATGAAATAACAACAGTCTTAACTTGATCTGTTTGCATATCACTACAACTAAATACTTTTTTAAGTTCTTTTTACTATCAGAAAAGAACCATTATAATGAATAAAATGAATTCTAATTATCATGATCTAATTGTTAGAATAAACCCTTAAATAATTGCTAGACTTTTATTTTTAAATTCTAGTGTTAAAAAATGATATTGAATGAAGATGTTATAAAAAAAGAAACCTAAGTTATTAGCAAGAAACAAATAACTTATTAAAAAATAGAGAATGAAATAAATAAATTTAAAAGTTACTTTCATTTATGGTGTTATAATATAATTGTAATACTTCTTTTTTAATAAAAGGAGATTGAATTTTATCTTTAGTAAGAAAAACAATACAAAGAACACCAGATGGAACTAATTTAGATTTGTATAAAGGAGTGTCATCATTAATAACCCAATTGTTTTTACTAAACGGTTTTCTTAAAAGAAATGGTATGTCAATACATATTTCCTTTATAAAATTATATAAATCTTCAACAGTTTGATTGGGTTTAAATTTTCTAATTAACTCAGTTCCATCAGGTAATTTAAATTTAATCATTGTTTTTGGTAATGCAATTAATTTTTGTAATCGTTCTTCTTCAGTTATTTCATCTCTAAATTTAAATTCTTTTGGTTTTGATTTGACCAATTGAAGAGCCTCTTCTTTAGTTAATTCATAAAAATCATCAGATTCAATTAATGAAGTTTGATATCCAATAAATCGTTTAATTTTAAGTTCAACTTCCACTATATTAAATGATAACTTAAAGTTCATAAAAGAATGAATTATTGAGATATGAAGTTTTTAAGTAGAAAAAAAAGAATGGAATAAAATAAATAAATAAACACAATTATAAAAATGTCATATCCAATGATGGTGGTACTGGATATGATGGTACTGGTGATGTTATTAATTGTGGTGTTGTTTGTTTATTCATAGAAGCTCTTGTTACAATCGAGTCAATAGTATTAAGTATATCAAATGAATGAATAATTTTATCATGTAATAATTCATTTTCTTTATTATTTTTAATACTTTCAGTTTGAATAATAATTTTATAATTGTCAGGTAATTTAAATGAATTTTTATTTTTTCCTTCATTTGCGTCTTGCATTTGTTTTAAACTATATTCATATTTTACATCATTTTCCCAAAAGAAAGTATTAATCATTAATCTTCCAATAATATTAATCTTTCCTTTTGACATAAAACAAACCATAATAATAATATCTCCTGACATATAATTCTTAGGAAAAATTGTTGTATATTTTCCATCTATTTCGTTTAACTTTTGTTGTATATATAACATCGGTGGATGTTCATTATGATGACTTAATGGATTAAAATAAAATATTGGAGCTGCATCTTCATATCCAGAAACTCCTATTTGAAATCCAAATGTTTGTATTGAAACAATTCTCATCATATATTGTGGGATAGGTACATATTCACTAAATGTACGATGATAACAATCAAAATAATACACATACCTTACTTGACAGGGAGCTGTTACTCCTCTTTTCTTTTTTGACCTTCTTTCTCCAAAAAGGTATAATGACTCTTCTGTATTTTTTGCTTTTCCTAATGCCAATAAAACTGAACATACTACAATTCCTGTTCTTCCTCTTCCAGCTCGACAATGGATAACAGCAGTGTTCATTTGGTCTTCATTTAAATAATTGACAATTTCATTAACTATCTAAGATAATAAGTTATTATCTTCTTTATTAAATAAAGAATAAAGAAAATAACAAACTTGAAGTAAGAAATTAAATTTTGGTGGGTGATGATCAAGAAATCCACAATGTACTACGTTGTTATCAAATGGTGTTGCGTCATATTGTTCTTCTGTTAAATTCCAAATTTTATAGTGATTTGGATGGTTCTTCTTTAAAAATTCTGCAACGTCATTTCGAGAATTTCTCCATTGTTGAGAAAATCCAGTGGCAGGAAATGCCATAGCAATAAGGTTTGGTAAAACGTATGATAAATCAAATAATTTTCCAGCATAAGATAAACATGTTTTGTCTTGTGCTGCAATACTTCTCAACATTTTCTTTTATAATTTTTTGTTTTTGAGTTCTTCGTATCATAAATCTTTAATTTTGTTCAAGGATGTTTGATGTAGCTCTTTATATTGTATTTCCACTCCTTCTCTTTTTTAAAATCCTGAATTTTCTTTATTATTGAACTTTTCTGATAACAAAATTTCTTTAATTCATTTTTTTTTTAACCCTATTTTTTATTCTTTTTTTTTATTCAATCTTTTTTAGTTGATTTGTTTTGTTGATTGATCAAACTATTTTTCAGTTAATGGAGGAAGAAGTGAGAGGATATGAAAAATGGTTAAAAGATTATCGAGAGGAAAGGCGTTGTAACGAATGGTCATTACAACAAGAAGCAGATGAATACGTTAGAAATTTCTTACTTTCAAAAAAAGAAATAAAAAAAGACAGTGATGACTTCCAAGAAGTTGGTGAAGATGGATTTGTAGTTATACCAGAACAATATCGTAGAAATGAATTTACATATTCACAACTTGATCCTGAAATTGCAGAAATTATTGCATCAAAACGTAAACACAAAAAGAATGAAGGTATGGTTTTTGAATACCAACCAGTAAAACGAGTTGAAAATACAAAGAAAGCAAAGAAATTAAGATACAATATTAAAAAGAACAAAATAGAAAAGGTTAAAAAAAGTAGTAAACAAGATGAAGAATAATTATTTGATTGGATATTAAACAAAAATTATACTTTTATTTTTTGAATTATATTGAAGTAATACAATTTAGTCAGTTGCTGAATACCAATTAACAGCTGAATCAATACATTTTTTCCATTCATCATTTGTTTGTTCATCAGGAGCAGCAAAGACATGACCATTAATATAGAAACATAATTTTTTACCATAACGTGCTTCAGGAGCTATTTCAAAATGTCCTGGTTTAAACATAAATGTTTCAATCAGTGTAGTGTCATCTCGAGATTTAAATACAAAAATGAATGTATATTTAATAACTACCCAAACTAATTTCCAACTTTTCTCACTAATTCCTTTATCTTTTTTAACATCTTTTTTCTCTTCTTTTTGACTTAAATACAATAAATTACCTTCTTTTTCTCCATTTATTTTTTGTGGTGTTAATTTACCAAATAATGAAGTTGCTAATAATTCAACTCCTGTTTTTGTTTCAATTAAGAAATTCTCGATTTTTTCTATTTCTTGTACCAATATTTTATTTCTTTCATTAAATGATTCAACTTGTTGTTGCATTGCTTCAATACGTTTGCTTTGATTTATAATAGTTGAATCAACTTCATCGTAACTAATTTGACTTGGTTTTAAATTTACTTCAATTTCTGATGTTTGAAGACACTTAGTTATTTCTTCAACTAAACAAGTCAGAGTTTCCTTTTCATCATCTTCAAAATTATCACTCATACAAATGTCTTGCATGATTTTCTCTAACATAACATATGTTAATGACAAGTCGCTTAATATTTCAAAATCTTCTATTTCTTGATCAGTAACAAGTTTCATAAATGGACATACATTAACAAATAAAGTTCCTGGTTTAAGTGAGTCAGCATTGAAATTATAATTTTCATAAGGTATATGATCTTCTAAAAATTCAGTAAATAAAGATAATATTTCACTATGTAATTCGGTAACATCTTCAAGCCACAGATGATTACGTAAAGACTCAATAGATAACTTTCCACTTGGAACTTCTTCTAAACAACAAATTAAGAATTCACGACATTCATATGATAAATCATTTGGAAGTGTTATTGTATCAAATATTCTTTCAGGGGTGGTTGTATAATCATCATAAATCATTCTACCTGTTAATAGCTCAATTAAAACAATTCCTAAATTCCAAACATCTTTTGTTGTTGATGATAAATCTTCTAAAGAAGATTTTTGAGAAATAGAATCTGGTATTACTTGTTTTGATGTAGTTGATATTTTATGAATCGATGGTGGAAGAAGACCAATACAATTGATTATTCCTTTTGAACTAACAAACGAATTTATGAGAGAAAGTTTATTATAAACAATGTGAGCATTTGTTAAAGCTTCGATTAATAAGATGTATTGCATTGCAATGATTTTTACAATATGTTCAGGGAAAATTACAAACATATTTATATAATCTGAAAGTTGTCCTAATGAAAAATAATCGATAATAATAAATGTGAAACCACCTTCAACTTGAACAACATCTTTATATTGAATAATTTTTTTAATATCTTTATCAAATAGATACTCAACTGTTTTCTGTATTATAAATACTTAGAATATAAATGATTATATCTAATCAAATAATGATTAACAAACTCGAATTGAATCTTCACTTGAACAATATTCAGGATTAATTACATGAATTAATGAAACTATTTCTTTGGTTGTAGTGTTAAATCCACTATACATTAATCCTAATTCTGTTTCTCCTAATAATAGTCCACGGGTGTATTTTCCAATGAATGGAGGAAGCATATCATCAAGGATTCTTCTTGAAGATTTAGGAGCTCTCGATAAATGAAGGGAATTCATTTTATTCTTTTCGAGTTTACTTTTTCGAATGAAAAACAAAAAAGAAAGAAAAAGTATTGTTATTTTTATTGATTTTTTTCAAAAAAAAAATAAAAATTTTCAGATGTTATCTTTTTTAAAAACAAAAATGTCCAATGAACGAATTATCGTTACTTCAATCTCATTATCAATTGTTATAACCTTAACAATTTTTATGTACTCAATAGGACATCATGAAATTTTTGGAATGGTTATTGTTGGGATGTTATGGGGATGTACAAATGTCTTTATGAAACAAGGAATTCATTTTTGTCATAACGAAAATGATACATTCTTTCAAAATGTAATAAATGACATTAAAACTTTAATTACGAGTTATTCATTTGTTATTCCGTTCTTAATAAATCAAACAGGATCTATTTTATTTACTATATTACTTGGTAATAATGATTTTTCATTAGTTGTTCCTATTTCAAATGCATTAACATTTATATTTACTTTTATCACAGCTTATCTTTTAGAAGAAAATCAATTGTCATTAAGTTTGTTTCATAAAAAATGTTAGTAATACAATTTTGTTATTAATAAAATAGAATGTATTACAGGTGTAATATTAGTGTTATTAGGGGTGACTATTTGTCAAACAGCGAAATAACATCATTACAAATTTTTTTCTTAAATCTTTTTTTTTATTTTTTCGTAAAAAAAAACCTAATCCATACTAATAATTATTAGTGAATATGAGCAACATTGATATATTTACTTATGTTAACCAATTATTAACTTCTACTGTACTTTCTATAGACAATAAAATTGGTGCAACCGTATTTACTGCTTTACATTTACATAGTAATAATCCATCAATTAAAATATATTTAGAATATTTAGAAGAATATTATGGAATAAATGAAGATGAAATTAAATTAATTAGTGAATGTCTTGAAAGAAATGACTATAAACAATTAAATAATTTAAACCCATTACTGTTTCATGAAGTTATAAAACAGTCATCATCTGAAACGAAAGAAAAAATTCTTTTAAATAGTCAACAATTTGAAAAAGAAGATATAAGCTGTATTGAAACAATTTGCCAAAACGAAGTATTAAATAAAAAAGTAGTTGAACAACAAAAGAAGGTTAATAATATTCAACAGGCTTTAATGATTCTAAAAGATGAAGTGGTAAAAACACAACTTAAAATTAGTTATAGTCCTATTAAACAAGCCCAAACACCAGTATTACCTGAATCTAATATTCCTAAAAGTCGGAATATCTTTGTATTCCAAATTTTTAATTCAGAGGATGACCAAAAAAAAGTTGAAGATTTAAAGAATCAAAGAATTATGCAATTAAAAAATTCATTAGAAGGATTAGATGTTGTTGACTTTTGGGAAGGATATGGTTCTGGATTACTTCCTAAAATAATATTAGTGGTCATTGAAGAATTAACAAGTGAAACAAAAAAAGATATTGAATCAGTTCATTCTCTTTATCCTTCATCAAAAATTTATCTTATATATCTTTATAAAAAAAATAAACTGCAACATGTTGATTCTAATCAAATCGTTTCATTACAATTTGATATCCAAAAGAAAGACGGTGTATTTGAGCAAGATAACTCTTTTATTCAAATGCTAACTCACTGTCTTAATTAATTTTTCTTATTAAAAAAAAAATTTTCTTCTTTTTTAAGATTGAAATCTAAAAATTTAATGAAAACTTAAAAAGAATCTTCTAAAAAAATGAAAAGAAAAGAACTAGAACTTAAAAAAAAAATAAAATATAATGAGCAAGAAGCTTCAACAAGTTGACCCTGTTATTGAGTCAAATCAAAAACAAAATAATATGGCAATGTACACTGACCTTATGAGAAGAGCTATGGATCATAAAAATTATAATGAAGCACTTGAAAATGCATATAAAATTTGTGAACAAATGAACACCACCAATTTGATTCCAGCACAATACTATAATTTATACCTTGTTTTGCAACAATGTTTAAGTGTATTAGATATGTATTTAAGAACTGATTATATTGCAGAAGGAAATGATATACTTGATTTGTATGAAGAAGTACAAACTTATCAATGTGCTGTTGCTCGATTATATTTGATGTGTATTGTTGGATCAGCTGCAGTTAAATCAAAGAAAGTAGGTATTGTTATATTTTTAAAAGATATTATTGAAATGTCACGTGCCGTACAACACCCAACAAAAGGAATTTTCTTAAGAAATTATATTCTTGATTGTGTTAAATCAATTCTTCCTAGTTCTACCACTGAAGAACCATCTGAAGGTAATTTGATTAATTCTATTGAATTTCTTTTGAACAATTTCTCAGAAATGTGTCGTTTATTAGTACGTTTAACACAAGGACCACAAGTTACAGAACAAAAAGTAGAAGAACAACAACAACTATGTCAAGTTGTAGGTAAAAATTTAATGATTATGTCTAACCTTGATGGTGTTTCTTTAGAATTATATTCTACTAATATTCTACCAAGATTTCTTGAACAAGTTCTCCTTTCTAGAGATAAAGTTACTCAAGATTATCTCTATGATGCTCTTATTCAAGCTTTTCCAGCTGACTACCAACTTGCAACTCTTCACCTTCTTCTTCATTCATTAGGAGGTGTTGTAGCAAATGTTGGAATTAGAAGAATATTATGTTCATTAATGGAACGAATTTCTAGTTATGTTACAGCTAATCCACAGGTAGAACGTAATATGGACATGTTCAAGATCTTTTCTACTCACATTTCACAAATTATCAAAACTCAAACACTAACTTGTGAAGAGTATGTTAGTATTTATGCTACTCTCGCTCATTTAGTAATTGTTTGGCATAACGAGGATGATGCTTATACACAATTAAATGCTATTAATGATAATATTTATGACTATCTTTCTACTCAACAAAATATTGATATTGAAGCTGCTAAGGCTTTAGTAACTCTTCTTCAATTCCCATTCACTAAGTACAATGTTCTTAAGGTTATTCAACTCAGAGTTTATCCTGAATTAATTAATTTACTTCCATACACTTTAAGACATGAAACTCATAGATTTGTTGCTAAAAAAGTTACTGAGAAGAATCACATTTCTTCTACTGGAGATATTATGGCTTTGACTATTCGATGTGTTGAAACCCTTTATCAAGACACTAAAGATATGACACCATTAAATGATGAAGAACTTGCTATTGATTGTAATTTATTCAAAACAGTTGCACTATCATCTATTGTTAATACAGAGTCTTTCTTTGATATTGTAAGAGAAGTTAAAAATGCAGTAAAGAATGCAGGAAATCGTAGATCATTGATGATACTTCCCACAGTTATTTCTATGTATTTAAGAGCTATTCCAGTTATTACAGATAAAAAAGATGATATATTTAAATCTGTATTTGATATATTGAAGACCCTTAAAAATTTATCTCATTTTGTTGCTTTAAAATGTTGTGTTGAAGTTGGTGGTACTGCTGCTCAAGCAAAATATTCCCAAGCTTCTTATTTCTTTGAGACAGCATTAACTATGTATGAAGATGAAACTGATATCCCAAAAGAAGAGTCATTGAAACTTATTCTTTCTACTTTAGCATCATGTTCATTAGAAGACGATATGAATGAAGTTTACATTAATGGATGTGGTAAATTTATTCAACTTCTACAAGACTCTTTCCAAAAAGGAAAATTATATTGTCAAACATCATCTGCTTTATTCAATGAACAAAGAAAAGTTGCTAAACAGTCAGTCAGTTATTTACAAAAAGCAGTTAAAGAAGCTGGCTTATGTCAAGTTGCAGAACAAAATATAGAACTATTGATTGATATCTTAAATATCTATATCATTCATTTTATTCGGGATAATTCAGAAATCACTGCAGAATATATTAATAACTTTGCTAATGTTATTAAAGAAAGTATTTCTCAAACTGAGATTCCAAAATTACAGTCTTATTATAAGGAAACAGCTGACTATATTGCTACAAGAACTGAAGACAAAATCAAACAACTTCAACTCTAATTTATCGAATTTTCTCTTATAAGAATAATGTATAGGTTTTCTCTTTTGAAATTATATTATAATTTATAGTTAAAAATTCTAATTAAAACTATACTTTTTATTTTCAATTCATTATGAAACCATTTGGATGTATTATTGATATTGATGGAGTTCTTATTCGAGATGGATGTAAAATCGAAGGGGCAGACAAAGGGATTAAATTACTTGAAGAACATAAAGTGCCATATTGCTTATTAACTAATGGCCATGGAAATGCTCAATATAAAGCAGATATTGTTAATAAGGCATTAGGAACCCATATCGCTCCAGAACAAATTGTTTTAGCAGTTTCACCTCTCAAAGACTTAGTGGATGATTTCAAAGATAAACCAGTATTAATAGTTGGTAAAGAAATGGAGATGGACACTGTCCGAAGTTTTGGGTTCAAACATCCAATTTATTATGAAGACTATGCTACACTTAATCCTGCACAATTTCCTGATAGATATCAAGCTGTTCATTCTTATTCTATTCATTCTGAATTAGATGAGCATACACAGATTGCAGCTATATTTATTGCTCACACTCCACTGAATTGGGGAGAAGCGATTCAAATTATTTGTGATGTTTTAAGATCAAAAGATGGAAGTACTGGTTCTATTATGGACAATGAACTTATTTTAACACAGAGAGTGCCAATTTATTTATGTAACCCAGACTTTGATTATGCAGGAAAATTCTCTTTACCCCGTATGACAGTTGGTGCTTTTGGCACATGTTTAAATACAATTTGGAAATCAATCACAAACCAAGACCTTAATATCCAGTTTATGGGAAAACCATATCGTCTCTCATACAAAATGGCTGAAAATGTCATTCTCAAACACAACAATGATACAACTCTTTTCTACGGAATTGGGGATAATCCAATTTCTGATATTCGAGGAGCAAACAATATGAAAATTGAGTCACCATATAGTTATACTTCTGTCCTTGTTGAATCTGGTTGTGGTAATGAAGAGTCTCTCAAAAAAGACCCACCAGACATTGTGTCATCAAATTTCCTTATGGCTGTGAAAACAATATTAAAAATGAATGGAATTTCTATTAATTAATTTTTAGATTTATGAATTATTATTTATTCTAATGATAAAATGCTGCAACCAAAGGATAAATTATTTGGTTTGTTTCTTACTATCGTATTTACTTCGTTCTGACCATTTTTGTTTTTTTCTCTTGCAAGAAAATAACATCTTCTCCAGATTGTCGGTGGTGTGTTCTTTAATTTCGATACTATTAATTTCATTTATTTCTTAGTTGTTTTTATCATTTATTTTGATGATATTGTTTATATCGTCATTGAGTTTTATTATGTGATTTGTATTATAATTCTGTTTGACTCTATTTGAATTAATGTTAAAATAATTATAATGATGAAACAGAAAGAAATTATGAATGAAAGGATTCATACCTATTATAATTGTTATGATGACACTTATTACTATGGTGATGTTTAATGTGATAGTTAATGTATTTCTGTCCATCCAGATAATACCTATGTTCACTCATTTTTTTATCATTTATATTTCATTGTTAATATGGGTTTCTCCCTCTTTTGTTGTGCTGTTTATGTTATTTGTGGTATTCCTGTAGTGCATCGTTTTTAAAAATAGTGAATAAAATATTCATGTTTACTATATCTCTTTTTATCTTTTATTCTTATTTTTTTTCTTTATTATTATTTATTGTTTAATTAACAAAATAAGTGTGAATATTTGAAATGAAATAAAACAAGAATGAAATATATTTAATTTTATATTCATTTCATTTATTGGCAGATGAAATTTTCATACTCTTATATTGATTTAAGTTTATATTCTTTTTATTTATTCTTCTTTTCAAACAAACAATATTTAATAATTTCATTTCAATTACAAAGAACCGCCTTAGTGTGAATTTTTCATTTCCACAGAGTACAACTCAATTTCTTTGTAGTCAAATGACTGTGAATTACAATACGATTCTGTTTTGTCATCTCCTTTACCAACACAAATATCACCACCTACATTTCCAAATGCAAACACACAATAATCTTATTAACTACACAAAATAAATGCAATGCATATTTTGGATCTTTGATATCAAATTTCATCATTCCTTGTATTTTTCCTTTTGATTCTAATGAAAATAAAAATGATTTTGGTTCATTTATATAATCATTAACTTTATCAATTTTCACATTAACATATCTCCAAATTTATTTCTATTTGTATCTTCAATAATGATTATTGTCTTCTTTATTTATTATTCTTTGATCAAGTACTGATCTATTCTTATTCTAATCATCATTATCTGAATCAAATAGTGTGTTGGATACTTTTCTATTTATCCATTCTTCTTGTTGTTGAATTTCAGATTCAATCAAAATTGCTTCAGTTTTCTTCTCTCTTGAATTAAAAATTTCATGACGTTCACTTTATTTGTTATTTCAGTTGAATGAGAACATTTGTTTTTTCATTTTTCTCTTTCTTGATCTAATTTTTTGTTGTTTCTCCATTTGAATTAAGTACATTTTCTTCAACTTTTCTTCTACTAACTCTTTAATTCATTCTTCATTTATACTTTTTGTTTGAATGTTCTGAAGAATATCTTTTATAACTGTTTCATGAACTGAAATAGTTATTGTATTTGTTTCAGTTCAATTCGTATTTTCATTCAGTTTATTAGACATTGTTCATTTTCTTTTCTTATTTGTTCTACCAATCTTTCTACTTCTTTGTTAATAGATGTTTTATTTAGTTTATTCAACTTTCTTACTTCTCCTAAATATTATTTATCTCTTCGGTAATTGTGTTTTTTGAATTTAGTACTTGTATAGAAGCATCATTTCTCTTATTTTACTTTCTAATTTATTGATTATTTTATCGTACTTATTTTTTATTTCTTTAGCTAATTTATCATGTTTACTTTCTAATTCTTTACTTTGGCTTAAATTAAATCTTTTAACTAGTTTGTGTTATAGTAATTGTGTTTGGTTATTTGTAAGTAAACTAATTTAACTTTCAACTAGACGTAGTGATATCTCCAAAGAAACAAGTTTTTGTTTTATGTTTTCTAATTCAGATAAGTTACTTTCATATCTTGTATTCATTTTCTGATTTTGACTATTTTTTTAGTTCTATTATTTCATTTTCAGTTCACTGTTAAATATTTTCATTTTCTTTGTTGTTTCTTATTTTATAACAAGTATTCTGTTTCATTCATTTGTATTCATTATATACTATATTACAACACTGAAACTTTTTGTTCTCATTGATACAATCAATTGGTTTGGTTTTGTTTGGTCACGAAATTATGTATTTCATTCATATTCATCATTATATTATTATATTGATTTGTGATGTTGTTAATTATTTCAGAATTGCTGTCTAAATGTAATGAATGTCTTTATTGTTTGATTAAAACTTGGTGTTTATGTTTGATATATCATTGAAATGAATTATCATGTTGCAAATTAATTCTTGTTAATTGTTTAAAACGTAAAAAATAGTAGAAAATATCATTAGATGTAAATATTTGTGATTAAATATGAGAATAACATATTTGTACATTATTAGTTATATCTTTCTACTTCGATGTCTGTATTAAATGAATACATCTGTTGATGAAATTGAAATTGAAATAAAATAAATATAAAATGAAAATGATAAAAGAAAGAATAAAGAAAATAATAAGAAAATAAATATAATGATTAATGATAAAATTAATGAGTTATTATCATGAATGAAAGTTGAAGATGAACATTAAATTCATTATTATTATTTATAAATGTTTAATTTATAATATGTATTAAATGGTCAGTCTTCATTCTGTATTAGTGTGTTGATGTTTAAATTATTCAATTTGTTATTATCATATCATCATTTCATTGATACTTCTTATTTATTATATTTTTATTTATTTCATCATTTAACTCTTGTTTGATATGATAATATAAATAATTTACATTGTATATTATCATCATTCATCATTGATAATCATCTGTGATATAATTTAATTTTCATATCAATAATTATATCATTTAAATAAATAATAACATCTATTAACATATCATTATGACATCTCATCAATATGATAAATGAAATATAACATATTTATACATTAATAACAATACGATTGATATTCATATTTATATAATCATTGTTATTCATAACTAACATTATAAATTTGAATTAACATAGTGTTCTTCTTTATTACATTTCATAATGATATTTTCACATTAAAATAGAATTGATGGTAAATGAAATAAAGAATAATATAAAATGAACAGAATTATGAATGAATATACTCAACAAATCAAGATACATCATACTCAATACAACAAGATATTACAAAGTGTCAACTGATTGTTATAGAATTTGTATTTTACCTACTTTTTATTTTATATTTTATAATTTTATATTTTTAAGAGAAAATAATAGAAAACAGAATAATCTAATAATCAAAAAATATATTACACTATTTTCATTTGATCATTTTATTTAGATTCATAATTTCTTTGCTTATTTTGGTTCCCAATCTAAATAATCATAAACTTTATTTTCGAACATACCCATCACAAACTCTTTTGTTTTGTTCATTTGTAATTAGTGTTGATAAATTGTTGTATTTATATAGGTTCTTTCAATTAAAGTAGTTAAATAATATAGTTTTTAAATTCTTGTATTCTCAAGTTTCAATAACATTGTTTTATCAATACTGACTAAGTTATAATTACATCATAATTATTTAAATGTTATAAAAAACTTATCCAAATCTCCTTCTCATCTTTTCTTATTTTGTCCATGGAGTAATTTATAATTACTTAGTTCAATCTCACACTTTTTATTAAACATTTCAATGTCTTGAGTATTATTGACATTTTTATACAAAAGATATTTTCAGTAAATAACTCATACCAACATGTTCCATTACTCTTCTTTTAAGTACGAATGTATTTCATTTCATTAGAAACTTCAATTCCTTACTTCATCTCATTCATTACTCTTAGAATATTTCCTCATTACTAAAATTGAATTAATTTGATTTTTAAGGTTAAAATGAGAGTTTAAACAAAACGACATGTATTATATTATTACTCTAATTTATTATTCATCTTGTCATTTAATTCTTTATAACAAATAAATAATTATGCAAATAATCCGTAAAACAAGGTAATGAACCAAATGAATATTCAATCATACAAATCAGTTATACATTCTCATCAAATTAGTGTTGTAAAACAAACAACTTCATCAAGTGTTATTCAAATAACAAGAAAATAGTATAGTTATAGATAAATAACAATATTGTTTATTATTGTTACGTTATTTAAAAATAAAGATATTTTAATGTAATATGATTTAATTTGTTAAATAAATAAAATAAATATTATAAACGTGTATTTAATTATTTAATCATCTGATTTTAATCTGATATTAATTAAATTAAAATGGAAGAGTTAATAAACAAAAATACTCATCTCTTTAAAGAAGAAATAGAAACACTTCCAAATATTCAACAATCAATTAATGATACTACTAAACAGTATCATTATTATTTAGGAAGTATTAAAAATGAAGTACTTAAATTAAAACGAGATGAAACAGAAAGAAAAAGAAAACTAGTAATAGAAAAAAGTTAAGAAACAATTAAAAGAATAGAAATAATAAAGAATCAAATGAACAAAATAATAGAAGAATATAATTATGATGAAATATTTAATAAAGTAAAGAATGAACTAATAAATGAAATCATTTCAGTTGAAGAATGAATAAAAGATAAAATATTCAGAAAATAGAATAAATTAAGAAAACTCAAGAAATAATTAATAAAAATGAAGAGTAGAAATGATTTATGATTATTTATATAGAAGAAGCAA